TAGGATGAGCAAAATCGAATGAACACACACACAAATGTGTGGCAGTGTATATTTCCATGTTCTAGCGGTAGATTCATTCGATTTGCTCATCCTATCGATGGAAGTACCCTCTCTCTCTCTCTCAATGTATATTTCCATGTCCTAGCGGTAGATTTGTCCGATTTTGCTCATCCTATCAATCGTAGTACTCTCTCTCTCTCTCTCTCTCTCTCTCTGACACACACACACACATGTAGTAGTGTATGTTTCGATGTTCTAGCACACACACACACACACACACACACACACACACACACACACTCTCGCGCGTGTTCCGATGTTCTAGCGGAAGATTCATTTGATCCCAGGGTTGGAGACTTACCTGTTGGCCGGTGCGTTGCTCATCCTCTCTCTCTCTCTCTCTCTCTCTCTCTCTCTCTCGCACGCGCGCGCGCGCTCCTCAGCCCGCTCCACTCACACCAACCCCGACCTCGTGTGCACCGCAGCCCGCTCCCGCGCACACGTACGGCCAAGACCACGACCCACGCCTTCGCTGACGCACCCCAGGCGTCGCTCGTCGCAAATATGGTGCCTGCGAGTTTCCACCACTAATCGACACCCCCGTACACCACCACGACCCTCGTCGCAAATACGGCCCCCGCGAACCGACGCGCCCTCCTCGGTCCCCTGCTGCACGCCGCGCGGAACTCCCTGCCTGATATTTCCTGGGCCCAGTGGGAGCGTCACGCCCAGACCGCTTTTTCCTTTAAGATATAAAATAAAGAGAGAGAAGAGAACAACTTGTTTATTTTCAAAGGCCGTTATTTCACACTCCACTTTTCCTCTCTTTCGGGCTCACCACACCACTCGCCAAACGCAAACATTTTGAATGCATCTAGACCTGTCATGGTCCCGATACATGAAAAATGTTGGTGTTTGCCACTGTTTGGCAAGTGGTGCGTCAAGCCCCTCTGTATCCCCTCTCCCTTTGCTCCGCCTCTTTTTCTAAACATGCAAGTGTGCCCTTACGGAACACGGGTGTAGGCAGCTTGCACTCAGCTGCATGAACATGGCGAGCCTTTTCCGCACCTGGCACAGTAAACAGAAAACTCAAAGAAGAAATTAAAAATAAAATAAAATGACAGACAGTGAGACACCGTGAAAACAAGACAAGCGAAAGAAAGGAAAAGAAAAGAAAGAGCTGCACGAAAACAGGAAAAAGAATGGTTTTAGTGGCCCTCATACTCTCTTGCTCTTCTCTCTTCATTTGTTTTGCAAAGTGTGCGCTTTTGATTGGTCGATGTGTGGCTTCACTCCACTGCACAACATTCTAAATGCATCTGGAGCTAGAAATGATCCCAATACCCAATAAAATAAAGTGGTCACAATACATTCAAAACTTTCTATCAATCAATCATAATAAAACAGTCCAGATTCATGTCAAATGTTGGGTAGTGGGGCGAGGCCCACAAACTTAATATAGGAGCTAAACACTCCTGCATATTCCATGAGAATCGTTGATTACAACGAGAAGGATCCTCAGAGGCTATATGCCCAGCAACCATTCTATCTTTCTGGTTGAAGAGACAAAATCTGACAAAAGCAAATGTGGGCAAAAAGGAAACTCAAAACTCCACTTCAGCATTTCTTGGTGCAATGGTCTTGTCCATAATCCTAAGAATTGCGAGGATTGAGCCCTCGCGGGGCCCTTATCAGACAAGCAAGTGTTCTGGGCTGCGGCCCCCAGCAAGCCTCGTGCCTGCCCTACGTGAAGGCGGACCTGAATATCCACGTGAGGCCTACTTTCGACATTTTCCATATGTGGGGTAGTTGCAGCACGCCAGTTGGTTACCGAGTAACGTGAGCCGTCAGAGGCTCCTTCCAGAAGCAAGGGCTGTGGTGTACAGTTGAGCCCAGGGCTCAGGCGGATGCGCCCTGGGCACAGGCTGTGGGAGGCCGACACATCACGGACTGACTGCAGGCCAATGAGAATGCAGCATTGTCGTCACACATGGACCGCGAGCCAATGAGAATGTGGCAAACACTTGGAGCCTGGAGGGCTGCCTGGATGAGCCCAAATGTAAAGGGGCCAGCCCCGTAATAGCAAAAGTGGGCCTGGACGCAGACACTGGGGCCCGGCTGGAAGCTACTGGAAACTCGTCCAGCCAGGCCCACACAGCCGAACACAGGGGCCACACTTTCCATAAAGGAAAGTGCCCTGGCCAGGCTCGGGGATTCTGGCCTAGGCAGGCATAGCGGCCGCGCTGCTGCGATAGCGCTAGCCGGCCAGGGCACACGCGGGCGCATGAGGTGAGAGGGCGCTGCGTGGCAGCGGGCGCACAGCGGCCATAGCCGGGCCGAGCGTGCGGTGGCAGGTGATGGCGATGGTTGTCTTTGGGTAGGAGGCGCATGCAGAGGGGAGTCAGGGTGTGATGAGGGAAGGAGAGAGAACGTACCTGGTCTATGCTGGCGGTCGGCATTGATGATGGCGTCACGTAAAATGGTCTTCAGCTTCGATCTGATCAAGTTGCATGAACGTAGAAAGTTGTAGGTAGGCCAAGTAGTGTAGGCTCGGCACTGGCTGCCAGACTATAGGAGTTACATTGGATACTGTGTTGGTGTGGCCAGAGAGCGTTGATATTGGCACACGAGTTCATTGTATTGCTCTTATTTGGATGGTATCTTGGTGCAGGTGCATTTGTGCTCTCTGCTTGGTACATGACTATCTGGACTACTTCGTGATTTTGCAACTTGGATTTCTGTCTATCGCTCTCACTCATAATCCTTGCAGAATACTCTCCGACTCGTGCACGCCCATAGAATGAAGGCGCACTCACACTAGCACTTTACTAAATGTATCTCGCAGCAATTCAGATCGGACACGGATGGATCTCACCGTCATCACATCCAGAGTTCAGTTGGAAAAGTCCTTGTGTGAGTATGCCATGAGAGGAGACTCAGGGAAGATAATTTTGCAGAGACGTCCTTGTGTGAGTATGCCGTGAGAGGAGACTCAGGGCAGAGAATTCTGTAGAGACGACAAGGGAGGGAAGGGTTGGAAAAAAAAACAAAACAAGTGAGAGCCCGTGGCAGTATCATACAAGAAGTTAACGAACCAATTTACATATCCCTATTTTATTTTATTTTTTCTCATCCTGCAATGTAAGTAACCTCAAGAATCAAGATGGATGGGTGGAAAAAAATCTATATTATATTATGTCACAGCCCCTCGTTTGTTGTCCTCTTCTCCCTCTCTGCCTACGGTTTACCGGGCAGTTCTATTTGACGATATATATAAAAAAGATGGACGGGTCAGATGATGGCGAGGGTTAAAAAGTAAAAATAAAAAAAATGATGCAAACGCAAGTGAATAACCGAGCATAGGGCAGATGCGTTCGTGCATGGCAAGAGAGAGAATGGGAGAGAGAGACATAAAGACAGAGAGAGAGAGAGGGAGGGCAGAGGGGATGAGCAGGAAGGCTCCCAGAGAAAATTTTCTTGCATAGGACGATGACATCATCTGTCAAGACGGGATACCGTCGACCCAAATCTGGACTTCCTGATGGATCAGATACATTCCGCGAAGGTGTGTGTGAATTGGCACTTCACCGCTCAAAAGTAAATCCCGAAACCAACCTCCCTTGGCGGCGTTTCCACTGCCCACGGAGACCTGCACAACGCCAAACATAATGAAAGGGGATTGACAGAGGGGTCAATTTTTTTTTTTTTTTTTTTTTTTTTTTTAACTATCCTCTTCCCTCAATTTTTTCCTCACACTACCTACCTACCACTACTCCTACCTATAGGCATACGGGGAAACCCGTAGCATACCAGAGCCGTGTTTTTACGGCGCCTCGAGCCTGCAGGATACCGGCCAGGGGACGGCCGGTAGCACCAGGGGTCAATTTAAGCTGCAAGGAGCCTTGAAACAGGGAAGCTGTTCATCCATACTATATGAAGTGTTCGGAACTCTCTTGTTGGGATAAAAGGCCTTCTTAAAAAAAAGGAAAAGAAAAAGAAGAAAAAGAAAAAGGTAAAGAAAAAGAAAAAGAAGAAGAAGAAGGAGAAGAAGAAGAAGAAGAAGAAGAAGAAGAAGAAGATAAAAGGTGTTCATGGCATGGGAAGGTGGCCATCCGTATTATATAAAGCGTTTGGAACTCTCTTGTTGGGATAAAAGGCCTTCTTAAAAAGAAGAAGAAGAAGAAGAGGAAGAAAGATTGCAAAATAAGCGGCCAGATCAAGTCCGATCTGGCCGCTCATTTTGCGATTCAAATATTTTTGGGGCCTCATGTGAGTACGCCCTCCCTCACTGTTTCCGATTTGGCCATTGGGTTAAAAAAATAAAGTAGTTCATAGAGTAACTATATCTTCATCTTCTTCTTCTTCTTCTTCTTCTTCTGTTTTTTTTTTTTTTTTTTTTTTTTTT